CTGTTATTATACAAGCACATACAACAGGATCACTGTGGACATTATTCCACCCATCAAGACTTAGGTTAACAATTTTGCCCTCTAGAGCTGTTACACATTGCTCCATTTATCTGTCATACACTTAATCCAGCAGTTTCCCTGCAACATCTGTGCTGGGTGGACTATATCCTGGTCTCAATGACTGAACCATATTAATGTTTCTTTTGTAATCTTCATCACAGCACTTCTCATGATGTTTCATTCGGGCCATTCTGTATGTTTATAACATTTTTGTTGTGAAGAAGAGCCATATGTTCTCTGCTGACATAAATTCACAATTTTGAGAGCTGTAAAACCAAGCATCTGTAATTATTTCTTCTAGGTAGAAAAACTGTCCAATAATCTTACAGAAACCTCTGGAAGAGCATGACATTGTGAATGGATTAATGGAATTCATTTACCAAAAAATTTAAACATTGCATGAATGTACAGCCTCGTAATTAAAAACTAATCCTTATTTCATGATGAATAACCTTTAGACTATTGTTGTAGTTCAGTCGCACAGTCAAGTCCGACTCTTCGCGACCCCATGGACCAGCTCCCGCCAGGCCCTCCGGTCCTCCGCCGCCCTCCGAAGCCTGCTCAACTTCATGCTCATTGCATCTATGACACTGTCCAACCATCTCATCCTTTGCCGTCCCCGTCTTCTTTGACCTTCAATCTTTCCCAGCATCAGGGTCTTCTCCAGTGAGTGCTCCCTTCTCATTTGGTGGCCAAAGTATTTGAGCTTCAGTTTCATTATCTGGCCTTCCAGGGAACAGTCAGGGTCGATTTCTTTTAGGATTGACTGATTTGATCTTCTTGCAGTCCAAGGGACTCTCAAGAGTCTTCTCCAGCACCATAGTTCAAAAGAATCTATTGTTCGGCGCTCGGCTTTCCTATGACTACTGGGAATACCATTGCTTTGACCATGCGGACTTTTGTGGGCAGGGTGATGTCTCTACTTTTTATCATGCTGTTTAGGTTCGCCATCGCTTTCCTTCCAAGGAGCAGGCGTCTTTTAATTTCATGACTGCTGTCACAGTCTGCGGTGATCTGGGATCCCAGGAACGTGAAGTCTGTCACTACTTCCACGACTTCCCTTTCTATTTGCCAAGGAGTGATGGGGCCGGATGCCATGATCTTAGTTTTTTTGATGTTGAGCTTCAAGCCCACTTTTGTGCTCTCCTCTTTTACCCTGAGCAAGAGGCTCTTGAGGTCCTCTTCACTTTCTGCCA